CTTCTAGGATTTTTATGGTTTCCAGTCTTACATTTAAGTCTTTTATCCATTTTTGGGTTTATTTTTGTGTATGGTGTAAGTTGGTGGTCTAATTTTATTTTTTTGCATGTATCTGTTCAATTTTCCCAACACCATTTATTGAAGACTGTCTTGACTCCATTGTATACTCTTGCCTCCTCTGTCAAATATTAAATGATCAAAAAAATAGATGCAGAAAAAGCATTCAACAAAATCCAACACCCTTTCTTGATAAGGACTATTAACAAAGTGGGAATAGAGAGATTATACCTCAACATAATAAAAGCCTTATATGACAAACCTATAGCCAACATCATACTCAATGGACAAAAGCTAAAACCATTTCCCCTAAGAACAGGAACAAAGCAGGGATGCTTGCTTTCACTACTCCTGTTTGACATAGTTCTAGAAATGCTAACCATTGCAATCAGACAAGAAGAAGAAATAAATGACATCCAAATTAGAAATGAGAAGTAAAATTGTCACTATTCGATGATATGATACTGTACATAGAAGTCCCTAAAGACTCCATCAGAAAACTACTAGATTTAATAAATGAATTTGGCAATGTAGCAGGTTATAAAGTTAATACCCAGAAATCTATGGCATTTTTATACACCAATAATAAATTCTCAGAAAGGGAAACCAAACAAACAACCCCGTTTAGCATTGCAAGAAAAAATTTAGATACTTGGGGATAAACTTAACCAAGGAAGTAAAAGACCTGTATTTGGAAAACTACAAGACATTGAAAAAAGAGATAGAAGAAGATATATGCAAGTGAAAGAATATACAGTGTTCATGGATTGGTAGAATCAACATCATTAAAATGTCCATACTACCCAAGGCAATCTACAGATTCAATGCAATCCCCATTAAAATAACAGCAGCATATTTCATGGAGCTAGATAGAACAAATTCTCCAAAAATTTATATGGAATCAAAAAAGGCCCCAAATGGCTGCAGCAATCTTGAGAAAGAAAAACAAAGTTGGAAGAATCACCATACCAGATTTCAAGTTATACTACAAAGCCACTATATTCAAAACAGCCTGGTACTGGCACAAGAACAGGCATATAGACCAATGGAACAGAGCAGAGAACCCAGAAATAACAATTTGTTCTTTATGGATGATACTTTTGGTGTTGAAGCTGACAAATTTTACCTAACTCAAGGTCACACACACCCCCGCCCCCACCTTCTGTTCTAGAAGTTTCATAGCTTTAGGTTTTGCATTTGAATTGATGATCCATTTAAAAAATATATGTCTTTATTGATTTCAGAAAGGAAGGGAGAGAGAGAGAGAGAATCATTGATTGGCTGCCTCCTGTACACCCTCTACTAGGGATTGAGCCCACAACCCTGACATGTGCCCTTGACTGGAATCGAACCTGGGACCCTTCAGTTCTCGGGCCAATGTTCTATCCACTGAGCCAAACCGGCTAGGGTTGGTGATCCATTTTGAATTAATTTTTTAATCTGGTGTGAGGTATGGATTGAAGGGTTCCTCACCCCCACCCTCCCCAAATCACTGGAATATAGAGATCCCATTGCTCCAGCACAATTCATTGAAAAGATTATCCTTTCTCCACAGAGTTGCTTCTTTTTATTTATTATTTATTTGAATAACAAAAGATATTTTACTAAAACGTAAGATTTACAGAAGTTTCCAGACAAGCCATACAAAATGGTCACAAGCTTTTCTTGAAGTGGGGGGCTGGGTGGGGGGGCGTCTACATTTGACAGCAAAGTCACAATGTTATTCGTGAGGGCTGTGGTGTTTGTTTAATGTTCCCATTTTGGTTCAAACAATCAAGCTTGTCCACCTACAGTGTCTAAATAAAGGTAGACTTGGCTAAAGAGCATATTCTAAAGAACTGGTTAGTTGCTTTTAACCAATGCAATTAGATCACCATAAAAAAAGGGGGAAAGGAGCCCATAAAATTAAACTACCTACCCTCTAAAGAAAAACCACCCACACATCTGCAGCTAACCCTGACAACTACCTTCATTCACAGCGCTTTATACTTAAACCGTGACGGGGGGAATGAATTAAAGCAGAGAGGGGTCAATGCTTTTAAACGTTTCACAACAATCCAGACGGTACTTCTAGCCTCTGCTCATGCTTTATAACAATGAATCAGGACAAGACATAGATTTGCTAGTGTGCATTTAATCACCAAAGGACTGAAGATGTCTGGGCTTTTATTCTGTAATGTTTCTAAGACCGTGTCCATTAAATGCAAACAAAAAAGGAAGAAGTCTTGGCAGAACAGGAGAAGTGATGCACACCTGCTGATCAGATCGATTTGAATATTATTCATGGCATGTAGCCTAGCCCATGCTCTCGCTATTTCTATGGCTTGGGCTTCGTTGGTCTTCCGTTGCTCCACTACATCACCTGCTAATGGGTCATCTGGATTGGGAGCACTTAACAAAGCCTGGATGGATGGCAGAACTGTGTGAATCTGCAGTGCTGGGGACCACTTATTTTTCACAATATCTAAACATTTTCTTCCCAACTTGTCTACATTAAGATGATAATTTTTGGTCATGAAACGTACGTTAGGTGCTGCCATCGGGTATTCTTCTGGAAGGAATAGTTCAAGTTTAAAAGCCCCTCCCTCAAAGGGGGAATCCTGGGGCCAGCAACGACCACATGAAAATTACGGGCGTTGCTCTTATCTGGTTCTGCTTTAATGCCAGGAACTGGTTCTGGCAAACGCAAACGCTGGGTTTCCTTGATAATCCTGCGGGGCAGCCTGGCCATCTTGTCAGATCCCAAGTTTGGCTTCTGGTCTAGTCTCTGGCTCCGCTTGCCTAACTCACCCAGAGCTGCTGCTTTTTAAAAAAACAAAACAACAACAACAACAAAAATACCCTAAAAACCACAATTCTTTATTATTGAAAGTATTATGTATCTCCTCTCTTTTTCCCCTACTAACCCCTTCTGGCCCGTCCCCACCCTCCGCCCGAGACCCTCATCACCCTCCTGTCTTGTGTCCATGGGTTCTACACATATACATACAAGTTCTTTGATCACTTTCCCAACAACCCATGCTCCTCCGCCTTCCCTCTGAGATTCTGCATTCACAGAACTGCTTCTTTACCTTTGTAGAAAATTGGTTGTCCATAGAGGTGTTAATCTTTATTCCATTCCAGTAATCTGCTTTTCTATCTTTACACTAATATCCATTGACTTGATTATTGTAGCTTATTAGCTATAACTTCTTTTTTAAAAATTATTTATTGTTGAAAGTATCACATATGTCTTCTTTCCTCCCATTAACCTCTCCCTACCCACTCCCACCTCCCAGCACAAGCCCTCATGCCCCTACAGGCTATGTCCATTGGTTATGCTTATATGCATGCATACAAGTCCTCTGGTTGAACTTTTATCCCCCCTCCCTCCCTCCTCTACCCTCCCTCTGCTGTAACTTCTTGTTTTATTATTTTAGTGGTTGCTTTCAGATTTATAAGATAGCCTGATATTATACCTCCAAGTGATGTTACACCACTTCCCTGCATATTAACATATCTCCCCCCTTTCTAAGCTTGGTGCTAATGTCATACATTTTACTTCTACTTATGGTATAAACCCCACACTACATGGTAATTATTTTTGCTTTAGATCATCCGTAAATATTTACCCTCCATTAAATTTTATTTCTTTGTGTAGAACTAGACTTTCATTTGCTATCATTCATTTTCTTTTTGCCTGAAGGACTTTCTTTAACATGTTTAATAATGCAGGTCTCATGGTGGTGAATTCTTTCAGTTTTGGTACGCCAGCAAAAAAGTCATCATTTCACATTTATTTTGAAATATATTTACATTGGGTATAGGATTTTAGGATAGCAATTTTTCTTTCCTTTTTGTACTTCTCTTCTTGCTTATATCATTTCTGACAGCTAACCTGCTTTGACCCTTATCTTTGTTTCCCTGATATAATGTATGGCTTTGCCGATGCCCTTTATGCTGGGTGTCCAGAATAGCTTATTTCAATTTGGATTTTGCGTCCTACATTTTAAATATAGTCAGTACCTTTACATCTATATTAATGTTTGCCTCTCCTTTTCCACGTAGGCCCGAAGTGTCAGAAGAATCACCGCTGGTCCCTCAGAAAGGCCGTTTCCGGCTTGTTCAGTGCAACTGCAGTGCTCATAAATGTTGTGAATGCCATGTGTCTGTGCCAGCAGCCAAACTCAACTGCACTCTCTCTATGTATTTAAAAATCACATCTGGGGGAGTGGTTTTTCAGTCACCTTTAATGTCTTTTCAACCCATCACTATCGGTAAGTTGTGCATAAGAAAATCACAGATCTAAACATCAGTCATACAAGCAGGTTAAACACGGCTTACAAAATTTGTCGCTAGCTTATCTCGCTTTCACCAGCTCTGTAATCATGGTAAACGTGGTGCCAGGGAGTATTGTGAGCAGCTTCTGGAATGGTTATAGCATTCAGTCATTCAGTAGTAACAGCAGTATTGCTATCTTTGCAATTGTAACCTAAATTCTTGCTTGAAAACAGTTTTATTTCTTTAAATCCTGGATCTGTCTAATGAGATATACTAATAAAGTATTTGGTTATCACATTTTTACATCTCAGGTAGCTATTTATGAAAATAAGTAGGAGCTTTTTTTTTGCCTGGATTTATTCCTTCAATAAATATTTCTTAGAGGCTCATGATTTGGGAGCCGGGGAAAACAGCGGTGAATGAGACAAAGTTCTTGTCTCGCAGAGTAGGGACAAATAATAGTGGGCAGAGATGAACAAAAAGTAAACAAGGAGTAATTTTCTATACAAATCTGAGCAACAGAAAAACTCAAATAATAGGTAATGCTTCATGTTTTCAGTGCAGAGATCCCCCTAAATTTTTTGACCAGCTTGAATATGTCACTACAAATGTGACTAATATAAGTAAATGTTAACTTAAAATATTTAACTTTTTAATTCAGTTTTGTGTACATATCTTAAATAATATATTTTAATTATTAATATATAATTATATAATATATAATTTAACAGTGTTACTAGTTTTTCAGCTCATATTTCCTTAGGTAGTTATATATTAACTCTTTACTCGTATCTTTGAATCATTGTTTTTGACATCACTAGAGTCACTTTTCTAGGTATCTGAAACAATTTTCCTCACAATTTCTCCTTTACTTCTAAGTTATTGGGGATATATCACTTTTTGAATCTGCATATGACATTATATCTTAACATTAGGACTTTCAAGTAATTTGTCCTCCAGGTCACCTTTTAAGTAGTTGAAAGAACAAGATGTGCTAAAATTTCAATTTGACTTCATTTTATGATTATCACAAGAAACGCTTGACTTAAAACATGTTCTTTTTTTCCTTTTTTTTTTCTTAAGTGAAGCCCGATCCACCATTCGGTTTGCATATGGAAATCACAGACAGTGGTGATTTAAAGGTTTCTTGGTCCAGTTCAACATTGCTACCATTTCAACTTCAATATGAAGTGAAATATTCAGAGAATTCTACAAGTATGAGAGAAGTAAGTATAGTTTAGTAAAGGAAAAGTTGAGATGCAACTAAAGTAAAGGTGAGACTCAGCTATGTCCCATAGAAAGTGCTCTCCGCATACCAAATATGCCTGCTCCTTGTAGAGCAGGATCCGTTATAACTTAACATTGCACCACTGGCTTTCATTTAAGATCAGCATAGGAACTTACCTTATGAACAGCATTTCTGCATCTTCTGTAAAACGCTTTTAGAAAAATTATTTGACGTTACTCAGTGTTGCTTATATATGGGTCTATGTTACATATTGAAGAGCATGACAAGTTCCTTCCAGAATTTACTGATAGAGAAAGCTCCTCTTCTAAAAAAGTTTATATATATTAAATTGATCTATCTTCTTTTCCCTGTTTTCTCTCCCCCTCCCCTCTCTTCTTTCTTCCTCTCATTTACACACACACACACACTCACACACACAGTTAAATGGCTACAGGAAGTCCAATTACACAAACTTGAATTCATTTATAATTTTTTCACCTACCGATCTTCTTTGATTTCTGATGTTACATTTAATCCTTTAAAAAATTGCTTACTATATTTGTTTACGTGCAGTGCAGTATATGCATTTGCACTGCAAAGTGCATCAAATCCTTTTTTCATTTTCTCAGTAAGTTTTTGTGGAGCTCCTGCTAGATATCAAGAACTGTCATGCTTGTATCAGGATATACTGGGGTAGTAGACCAAAATGAGAGGAGTTTGGGAGTACTGGTGAGAGACGGTGGGTTATAGCATTAAATGGAGGAAGAGGAAGATTTCATTGAGAGGCTGGCAATGTAAATATGTGGGGGAATCCGGTTCCAAATAGAGAAAACAGCCATTCAGAGGTTCTAACCTGGGTGAGAGGCTGGAGGCCAGGGGAGTGAATGAGAGTAAGAGTAACAGTGTAAATCAAAGTGGATAAAATCAAAGGGAATAGTGGTCTAGTTTCATTCTGTTGCATGTGACTGTCCAGTTTTCCCAAACCAATATAATGTTACTAACCAGTAACCTCAGTCAAAACCAATAAATCAACTAATCCTATATATTAAAGAGTTAATGTGCTAATTAGAATGAACAGCAGAATGACCATCCGGACAACCTTCTGGACAACCATCCGGATGATCTTCCGGATGAAGCCAGGGCTGCGAGGGCCAGCCAAGACTGTGAGGGGCTGTGAGGGGCTACGAGGGCCTGCAGGGGCCAGCTGAGGCAGCCGGGGCTGCGAGGGCTGAGCCCCTTACACAAATTTCATGCATCGGGCCTTTAGTATGCAATAAAAACCAAGAAGATTAGGGGAGGAGAACAAGGAGATTGTTAAGAACCTCATGGGCCATGCATGGACTTTGGCACTTTGTGAGACTAATTGTTCTGTGATTTAGAGATAAATATCTGTTTTCTTAGATCTAGGCCAACTTTTTTTCATACTTTATTTTCATAAAGTGTAGGATGGGAATCCTTTTATGATATATATGGAAAAGCAGAGTTAAAACTTCTCTGGACTTCAGCTTTCTGATCTGTAAAATTGAGAAAATAGGATTTTAAATACTATAGGTGCTCTGATATTGTTTAATGGGTTCCTAATGCTTTTCACCATTTTCATTCTATGGTGCCTTGAAGTCTAAGGCACAGGGGAGTCCAATAGTTTTAGAGTGTATCATTAGGAAACCGAATTTATTCGCTAAGCAATTCTTTGCTGGTGGTTGTTTTATGCAGTTAGGTCTCTTAAATATTTTCCTTCTACTTTATAAACTGTATTTTGATTCACTGTAGTTTATCATCAGTCTAAGATTCTTAAAAATTATTCATGCCCTCCATCTGTGATGTTTTCCTCTAGGAACAAAGCAGTTCTCTGTTCACCCTGCTCATCATTTCTACCGTGTGCTTTCCAGTTGTCAGCGGGGGCATGACGCTTCCCATTGACACTATATATCTCAAGATTTGAAAAGTTATATTCATTATCATCCAGTTAAAAATATTTGTTTATTGTCATTGTGATTCTTGGACTCGTGGGTTATGTAAAATTTTATTGACTAATGTACCAACCTTTGTTATTTGGTTATTAATTTCTGTTTAATTCCATTGTGGCCAGATAACTCCTCTGTAAGATTTTAATTCTTTGAAATTTGTTGAGACTTGCTTGTGATCTCACAAGGGGTAAAGGGCTCACAGTGACTTGATACTTTTGGTGTTTTCAAATAATATTTAACAGGCTGATGAGATCGTCTCAGCCACGTCTCTGCTAATAGACAGTGTGCTTCCTGGGTCTTCGTATGAGGTTCAGGTGAGGGGCAAGAGGCTGGATGGCCCAGGCATCTGGAGTGACTGGAGCACCCCTCTTATTTTTACCACACAAGGTAAGTTTTTGTAAGAGCACCTTCTATTGAAAAGGGAATATGTTTTTTGAAGTTGCGTTTGGTATATTATAAGATTCTTAAATTTTGTGGCACTAAACCAGAAAGACATTTCTACATAAATTTTGAAAAAGCTAGTTCGTTAATGAAAACATGTATAAGAGCTCCCAGGTGTGTATGCATCCATAGCAGTATCTTGTTGAATTACTTTCTTTTTCAAAATTTACAGTTAATATAGAAGTTTCAAACTCACAAATTCAGAACACTATTTGTATCGATGTTTCCTTAACTTACTTTAAAAAAAAATTAATCTTAGAGAGAGGAAGGCAGGGAGAGAGAGAAATATTGATGTGAGAGAGAAACATTGATCGGTAGCCTTCTGCATGGGACTTGACTGGGAATCGAACCCGAAATCAGGGTATGTGCCCTGACCAGGAATTGAACCTGCCATCTTTTGGTGCACAGGATGATGCTCCAACCAACTGAGCCACACCGGTCAGGGCTCCTTAACTCACATTTTGAAAAATTAGATATATTTATTAAAAATATTTCTCTATATAGTTTTATTGATTTCAGAGAGGAAGGGAGAGGGGGAGAGAGAGAGAAACATCAATGATGAGAGAAAATCATTGATTGGCCGCCTCCTACTTGACCCCCACTGGGGATCAAACCCACAACCTGGGCATGTGCCCTTGGCCAGAATCGAACCTGGGACCCTTCAGTCTGCAGGCTGACGCTCTACCCACTGAACCAAACTGGCGAGGGCCTTATTTATATTATTTAAAAAGTAAATATTCAACATTTACCCCATCAATTTCAATACATTTGTTTAATGTAAATTTTACAAATTGTCAGGTTTTTAATAAATTGTCTTTCTTATTTAAACTAATATTTTAGTACTTAATAATGCCAAAATACTTTGACTTTAATCTGACTTCCCAGTTAAGCCTTAATTATATGCATTCGATTTTGAAGTGAAATGTTTTATGTGTTTATTACCTTTAAAACGAAAAGCTTCAACTTTATTTTTAAAAGTTCATTTGTACTCTTTTGAAAAATGGATTATTCTGAGTCTTTTGAAGCAGCTGAGTAACGAGATGTGGAGCACATGGAAGGTAGGTTAATGGTCTCTCAGGTCCCTGGTAGGTACTTATTTGCAGTAAGTAATGTACTATGAGGCTTGAATGCCACTCCACACTAGTTTATAAACCTAATGCACTGGCTTCTGTCCAGTACTTTCATGCTACTAAGTTTTTTCCGGTTTATTTCTAACTGCCAGTGGCTGGCGTAGATTTTAAATATAAAGATATTGGAGTTTAGCATGCTGTTGCAGAAAACTTAAAAACCAATGAAGTGTTTTCGATTTCGTTTCTTGGGATAACCCAAAAAATGTTATGTAAGAAAACAGATATTCATATGTTATCAGCAGAAAATGGTTTACCTTAAATATACTGATTTTAAAATGCACTCTGGCAGAAATAATTTCTTCCTTTGTTAACAGTTGTTGACTTTTATTCTATTTCTAATTAAAAGCATAGACAAACTATGTTTCCAACAACAGGGAACTGAAAAAGTAGGATGGAATAGTGTATAGACATTAAAAATAATATTTTAGAAAAGTTTGGGCTCTCTTTGTCTTCAAACACAGATTGGAATAAAATAACTCAAAATTATGCTACAGAGCAGTAATATACAGACCTGATTTGTATATTGGTGCATTAATTTTACATTTCCTAACTAGTTTTCTTATTTAAAGCTTATTTCTATACCTTTCCTGCTAATTTGAAATTTTCATATATCCAAATGAGACAATAGTCCACCATTTTTGGGGGGGAGGGAGGGATGGGTGTTATCTTACAGAGATTTAAGAACTCACCCTAAGCTTCACTGATTCTTAAAGCAAAGTCTCATGGAAGACAGGTCATTGTGGAATTAGACTACATTTCACTTTCGTTAAATTTCTACCTATCACTTAGCAAGTGACCATTACTCATGAAATCATACCCTATATAATAAAAGGCTAATATGCAAATTGTCCCCTTGGGAGTTCGACCAGAAGACCGGGAGTTCGATCGCTCGCTATGATGTGCGCTGACCACCAGGGGGCGGCACGGAACATGGCAGTTGACCAGCAGTGATGGTGGCGGTGGGGCACTAAGGGAGTGAGGGAAGGAGGGGCCAGGGAGGCAGGGAACCTGATTGGCCCTAATCACTGGCCAGGCCTAGAGACCCTAACCATGCACGAATTTCATGCACCGGGCCTCTAGTATTATAATAAAACTGAAGATATTTATGGAAGGCCAAGTATTTGAGAATGGGAGTGCTTGGGATCCTAAATCGCTGTAAACAAACAGGCAGTTACAAAACAGGCAGACTGCATAATTATGCAGTCTCTTAGCACACTTGTTTTATTTTTGGCAGTGTCATCCCTGAATGCTTTTATGAATCTTTTTTACATAGTAAATTCTTTCATCTGATTTTCTACCTTTCTTCCCTCATTACAGATGTCATATACTTTCCACCTAAAATTCTGACCAGTGTTGGGTCTAATGTTTCTTTTCACTGCATCTACAAAGATGAAAACAAGATCGTTTCCTCAAAAAATATTGTTTGGTGGATGAATTTAGCTGAGAAAATTCCTGAAAGCCAGTATAACATTGTGGGCGACCGTGTTAGCAAAGTTACCCTTCCCAATTTGAATGCAACCAGACTGCGAGGAAAGTTCACCTACGATGCAGTGTACTGCTGCAACGAGCATGAGTGCCACCATCGCTATGCTGAATTGTATGTGATTGGTAAGCACACTGAGGTTTTCTTCCTTTTGTTCCACAAGATAAATTTATCTTAGGGACTCTGTATTAGAGTCTCATTTATTTTCATTAAGCATTCTTTTGGTATTTTTGCTGCATATTAATACTTTTATGTGTTTTAAATAGATGTCAATATCAATATATTATGTGAAACTGATGGGTACTTAACGAAAATGACTTGCAGATGGTCAACTAATGCAATCCAGTCACTTGCGGGGAGTACTTTGCAATTGAGGTATCATAGGTATGTATTCTTTTTCTGTTTTTATTTTTGTGTAGATATGTTGAGATAAAAATTTCCTATAGAAATATCGCCATCACGGTATTCTTGTAGCTTTTCTTCTTGAAAGAGGATAGTAGAATATACTTCATTAGAAAACAGTAACTGCTACTTTTAGCCATTTTAATGCCATATTAAGAGCAAATAGTGGCAGAAGGGCTGTTTCAAAGAAGAGGAGAAATGCTTTGTATGTTATGAGGCAGGGTGTTGATAGGGGCTCAGTTATAAAAAATGACTTTCTTCTTTGAGAAGATGAATGATATTCTTGACTATATGACTCATATGCAAAGCAAGAATTGATATCTTCAAAATTATACTGCTTTGAACTAGAAAGTAGTCGGACACTGTAATTATGCTATAATTACTATCGACTCTGTTTTCAATTTGTGGTAGAATTTAATCTGTATTGAAAGTGTAAGGAAATTATTTTCCTTCCCATCTCAGGGATGCCCACTGCTGCTTTTGGCCTATAGTTTTAAAATGGTATTACATAGTTATAATATTAGCTTAGCTTTCAAAGTGTTAATAGGTTCTCTCTCTAACTGGGTCATTATCTCCTTGTTAGAGCAATGCCATTTAATTTGTTTGCATTCCCACTTAGTGTCTAATGAAATATTTAATAAGGGTTACTGTCTGCTTTTATGGAAAAACAAGATTGTGATGTAGCTGGGAATTCTAAAATACCTGTTTAATAAGGACAACTACTTTTAGATGGAGCAAAACCGGTACCTTTTAAACAGCAAAGCAGAATTCTCAAATCTTACAGCTTCCATCAATGTTGTATATTAATAGACTGTTTTCATGTCTTTCAAGGAGAAGCCTTTATTGTTCTGATGTTCCATCTATTCATACCACCTCTGAACCCAAAGATTGCCATTTGCAGAGAGATGGTTTTTATGAATGCATATTTCAGCCAATCTTTCTCTTATCCGGCTACACAATGTGGATAAGGATCAATCACTCTCTGGGTTCATTGGATTCTCCTCCAACGTGTGTTGTTCCTGATTCCATGAGTAAGTTAAATTGCTGTGTGTCTTCATTTTTACCAGCAGACTTGGATTTAGGTTGATTCAGGGCAGTTGTATTTTACTACATATTTTCTGATCATATTAGATTTAAATATTTGTTCTGCTCATAGTGAAATTGAGAAGACAATCAGCATTTGAAAGTTTTACTATATTTATTTTATTTTAAAATTTTTGTAGCACAATTTTTTAGCAATTGGAATATTTTCAGCATACTATTTGATGAGTGAAATTTAATAGTATTATTAATAATGCACTACTTTGTATTTTTCCCCCCAATGTACTTATAGAAACATTTGGAGTTTTTAAATCTCAAAGTTTAATTTAGGTATTCTGATGGTTTTTGTAATCTGAATAGTAATAACTCAAGGCTTTAATTTATGAGGCTGTGTAGGGGGCAGCATTCAAAATAGCTAAAGTCAAGTGAAGAAGAGAAAAATAGACAAGGAAGGATGACATCCATGATGAAATTTTAAATACTCTTTTCAAAACACATTTTGATTTCAAAGGATTAAGAAGACCCTGGGAAAATTTGATATACCCATCCAGTATTGTTACTGTGGAAGCTTTGAGAAATGATCCATTTATGATTGTGCAGCAGAGATAAAAGAATACATTCCAGTGCTCTGTACTATTTTTGTTGGGAAAATATGCCAAAAATCACTATTTGATTCATTATACTTTCAAATAATTAGTATGTACACATCAGAGTTAAAACCTGCATTTTGTTAAACAGAAAATAAACTCATAATGTTTAGATTTCTTTTTCCACACAAAGTCACATTGTTGTGCTTGGGCATTGGGACTTTTGGTTTCCAAATATGTTGAGTTGCTACATTGTCTTTTTCTATTTAAAAAAATGTTCTTGACATTTTAGTCACCTTTGCCTCCATTTCTGTCCCCTGGGAGGTCAATGGGGGGCGGGGAGAGTGGGGGAGGAGATATATATACTACTATTTGTAATACCTTAAACAATAAAATAAAATTTAAAAAATACAACTAAAGGAGATTAAAAATGGCAGCAGAGTAAGTGGATGCTGCATGGACATGCCCAGGAACAAACTGGAATTACAACTAAAATACAGAAAAACTTCCTGAATAATCAATGGGAAACTTGCAGGAAAGAACCCTGATACCCGAGAACTGAAAGTGGAGACTGCATGGAGACTGATTTATTTTGTATATTGTAAATAATAATAATTATTATTATTAATTAATTAATTTTTAAAATACGGCTTTAAAAAAAAAGCCTGTTTTTCATTGATTTTAGAGAGCCAAGTCTTCACTCTGCAAGACTACCTCTGACCTTGACCCAGAAATACTTACTAATAGATAGTAGAAGAGTTTTAAATTCACACGTGTGGGAATGATGCAGTGCATATTTTTGCCTTTAATTAAAGCTCTACATGGAACAGAGTTTGCTCTCAATGTTTATCCCGTGATCAGTATGGTATCTTCTGTTTGCAGAGCCAAGGGCTCAATTCTAATCAGGTCTTACTATAAACAGAGTGACATGGACAATGTATTGATTTTTAAAGAATCAACCTATTTGCAAAATAATCCATTTTGTATTTATTACATAAAGTTGTAGGGGAGCAAATGAGATAAGGGATGTGACATTTTTTGAAAAAGAGCTACTGCTTTATAAATATAAGGTATGGAAATAGAACATCATAAGAATGGTTTTTAAAACATCATTACTGTTACATATACTGTTGTTTTTTTAATTTCTAGTAAAACCATTGCCTCCATCCAGTGTGAAAGCAGAAATTACTGCAAAAATTGGATTATTGAAAATATCTTGGAAAAAGCCCATTTTTCCAGAGAATAATCTTCAGTTCCAGATTCGTTATGGCTTAAATGGAAAAGAAATACAGTGGAAGGTAACTTTTATCTAGAAATTTCTTTAGCTTGTTTCACTAAATGTTATCTCTGACTATTTTAATAATTTTATTGCAACTTACTTTGTTGTCATAAGATTTATTTATTTAGTATATCCTCTGTATTCTGTAGCTATTTTTGTTACAGTGATCTAAGTTTAACCCTTTAAAGAAATAAAATTTCCCACAATCTATCATTTCCAAAAGTGAGCTTTTGCCATTGGCCCCATAAAATGTTTCTTTAAAAAAGCTTGCATCGTTAAATAAGTTTAGGAAACCCTGCATCACTGTATGTTCCTAGTGTAAAGTCATAGTTTATTACATATTAAAGGTTAGGAAAGGTCCTGCATTAAAGAAACATTTATTTGTGAATTTACTTCATCCTATGTTTCTCAAACTTATTTTACCAATAAGCCCCTTTTTATCCAACATCTAATTATATTCTTTAGTACACGTATCCAATGGAATACATTTTGGAAGGAGCTGCTTTTACCAAATAACCAGAATCATACCCATAGGTGCAGGTGTGCATATGATGACTCGTGGTGTCAGTTGTCTGATGGCAGCCTGCAAAGACTTACAAACATTACTAGGTCATGATGATTGTAACTGAAATGAATATGATTCTTTACCTGCTTATTGAGGAGACTGAATATCAGAGATCCTCCACAGCAGGCCCTATTCACTACTAGGTTAAAATTCTTAATAGTTTTTGTGGATAGAGGCTTAGTGGACAGAGATGTGTAATAATAGGCTTATGAGAACGATTGGGAAGTGAGGCTGCAAGTGAACCAGTCCAAATCTGGTTACAACAAGGGGACTAAGATAGTCCTTAACCTGAAGGAGCTCATGATCCAAGCCTGATAGGAGTATTTCCACAGCCAGAAGACACGAAGTCAGTTTACTCTTCAATTTGGAATAGTGTTAAGGTTTTAAAATAAAATGTACTTCAGGGCCCTTTAGCCACCTGTGTGTGAGTCATGATCAATCTAATGCATTGACTTATGTTACAGATGCATGAGGTATATGATGCAAATTCAAACTCTGTCAGTCTCCCAGTGCCAGACCTGTGTGCAGTCTACGCTGCTCAGGTGCGCTGTAAGAGGCTGGATGGACTGGGATATTGGAGTAATTGGAGTACTCCAGCCTACACAGTGGTCATGGATGTAAAAGGTCTGTAGAGGTTTTGTAAACATGTCTTAAAAATGCATGTGTGTGTTTCAAATACTATGACTGAAAAATATTACTTCTGAGAATACAAGTACAACTTGGGCTCCTTGTTGTTTTGCAGTTCCTATCAAAGGACCTGAATTTTGGAGAATAATTCATGAAGACAGTACAAAAAAGGAAAGAAATGTCACTTTACTTTGGAAAGTATTTCTGCTTTTTTATGTTATTCTTCATTGTTCATAATTTTAGGCTCTGCAATCCATATTTCATTTCCATTTTAAGAGACGATCATAGATAGTTAAGATCCCTAGTGGAGGGTGTGTCAGCATGGAGTTAGGAGACTTTAGTTCTATTCTCAGCTTAAGGTATTATAGTTATGTCAGTACTATTTTGGCAAAGTCACCTGAACTCTTTAGCCTAATCTGTATAAAAGTAGGATTACACCAGATGACATCTAATGTTCCTTCAAGTCCAAGAATTCTATTTATATTTAATCCTAAACAAAGTAAATGCCTTCTCCACATACCTCAAGGACATCCAGAACAAGAGATATTCTTTTTGCATGATGACATATAAACTGTGGATATTTCCATAAATAGTGGATATTCAGCCTAACAATTTTCAAAACATTCTCTCTACTATATGAATTTTGTATCCCAAGTGAATGGATTATTTTTTGTCACAATTTTGGGGAAACACACACATTCAGTCCACAGCAAACATTATCTGCCATTAGGGAATTACAAATTCCAACAACAAGTGTGTAGAGATACCACTACATACTTCTTAGAATGGTTAAAATAAAAAAACAACAACAATGGACAATAAATTGCTTGCAAATATGCAAGGCAACAGGAAGTTTTATTCTTTGCTGGTGGGACTACAAAATGGAAGATAGTTTGGTAGTTTCTTACAAAGTTAAACAGTGTTACCATATGATCCAGCATCATACTATTAGCTATTTACCCAACTGATTTGAAAACTTGTCTTCACATAATAATTTGTGCATACATGTTCATAGTAGCTTTATTCATAATCACTTCAAACTGGAAGCAACTAAGATATCCTTCTATAGATGACTAGCTAAACAAACTATGGTACTTCCATCCAGTGGAATGTTATTCAGTGATAAGAAGAAATTTCTATAAAGCCACAAAAAGATGTGGATGAATCTTAAATGCATGTAGCTAAGTGGTAGAAGCCCATCTGAAAGGGCTACATAATGATTCCACATACATGACATTCTGAAAAAGGCATAACTGTAGAGAAGATAGAAATATTGGTGGTTTCTAGGGGTTTGGCTGATGACGAAAAGTTTGAATAGGCAAAGCACAAGGGATTTTTTATGGTGGTTAAACTATTCTGTAGATTGCTATGGTGGTTACATAGTATGGTGAGTACATATGCATTAGTCAAAACCCATAGAGAGCAGCCCTCAATGTATGCAAATTAAAAATAAATCACTTAGTGGGTTGGAGGATCCCGGGATGGAATCCAGACTTGGACAAAAGATTCTAACTGTATTACAAGTGTATGCAAAACCTCACTGAAGGGGGTGGGAGAAAAAAGTGCAGGCCTAAGTAACTTTGTAAATGCATGGATTTTTAAAACTAAGGCAAAAGAAGTGGCATTATGCACTGGGTTCTATTTGATAATGTTAATTATTATGGGTTAACAATTCTTATACTACTGTACATGTAAACTGGAATTGAATAATCAAAGAAATGGGTGTGGATGGTGGGACCCAGATGTCTCATTGGTTATAGAGAATCTAGGGGCAGAAGACCAGAATGGTCCGTGTGGTGAGGGCTTAGAATTGGAGACATCAGTATGAGCTTCTGTTTAGCTTAATATGGCTACAGATGGATGCATTTAGAATATTTATAGATATAAATATTAGTATACACACATATATTATCTTGATTTGCACTTGAGTAACGGCACTCGAGTGACAAGGAGCATGCTCAGATTTGTATTTCTAATGGTATTTCTAATACCATTCTCCAATGAAAGGAACTAAAGTTCCTTGAAAATGGCTGGTTTGGGACCGGGACAGGAAATCCACAAGATGAGTCTAGAGCAGCTTCCTAGTTCCAAAAAGTAAGGAAGTTTATCATCATTTCTAATTGATGGTTACAAAAGTAAATATTTGTATATGAAAACTGACATGGATTTTACAAAATGAAATGTGAAATATGCATGACTTTTCAGACATTTCATTCTTGCAATGGTTGCTGCAAGAATCTCACTCCTCACTTGCCCAGGTTATTTCGGGCCCTGTAGGGGTAGATGTGTACGTGCTTGTGTGTTTTTGTGTTTGTTTGTTTTTCTGATATCTGACTTATAGGAACCTCAGTGACAAAGGAAAGAAAGAAGGAAGGAAGGAAGGAAGGAAGGAAGGAAGGAAGGAAGGAAGGAAGGAAGGAAGGAAGGAAGGAAGGAAGGAAGGAAAGAGAGAAAGAAAGGAAGGAATTGAGCAGCACTGGTCTAGTCTCTTGTATCAAGCTTTCTGGGGTTTACAAAGGATTGGCAGCACTTATTCTTACCTGAAGCAGGTGAAGATGGTGGGAGAAGTGGTGTATTCTGTAGAGTGGAGGACTGGAATTGGATTAAATCTGTATTTTACATTGGAACTGTCAGTGATCTGGTATGATTTATTTTCAGCCTTGGACTGAAATTCTGGGGTGCCATGCACACTGTTCTGACAGCCTCTGTTACTTGAAGTGGCAGCATATCAAGGGAAGGGAAAATGAGTGAAAATTTTACTGCGATTAATATATGATGATGAACATTTTTCAGCTTTTCTCTACCAGTCTTTTTTTTTTTTTCTTTAAAATTAGAGTGAAACTTTTTGGTAGAAAAACTTTGTATTCATACTTCATTATCTTCCAATGATTTATTTTCTGAATATTAAGAGGAAAAAAAAAAACAGGAGAGGGAAAACAACTTTGCTATGCTCCATACCCACCTGACACCTTCACCTAGCCTGTGGTCAGAGGCAGATCCTCCCCTCCCCCACCACCTCCTACCTCAGCCTGGACATAGGCAGTGCTGCCTCTGGTCTGACCCTGCCTCCCAGTGGGAATATATAGTAAGAGTTCCGTGAGCACAGTTGGTGTAAAGAGCACTGTAGCCCTTAAACTAATCCAGTTTTATGTTTACTCCAGCCCCTGATGAAAAACGATTCATTGTGCCGTGTGAGAAGATATGTAGTAAAGCATCACACTGCCCGCAATGGAACATGGTCTGAAGATGTGGGCAACCACACCAAATTCACTTTCCAATGGACAGAACAAACACATACTGTTACAGTTCTGGCTGTTAATTCGATTGGTGCCTCTTTTGCAAATTTTAATTTAACGCTCTCATGGCCTATGAGCAAAGGTAATTGAAAAAGTACAGGGTAGTAAACCTGTGCCCTTTTAAATATTTAATCTTTGTAAACTCCTTCCATTCTAAATGGTCTTCCAAGAAACCTGTGATTCCCTGAATCGGAAAGTCTCTGTTTTACCTTGATCTCTTCTTTGTCTGAAAAATAGCAAACTAGATGGTACTCTGATTATGTATATGGTCCTGGGGTTTTCATGTGGTAGAAATAGTTGAAATGATATAATGTGAAAATATTCTAATATATCTAATGCTTTTGGACCAGTGGTGATCATAGGTAAATCTCTCTCTCTCTCTCTCTCTCTCTCTCTCTCTCTCTCTCTCTCGCTCTCTCTCTCTTTCTATCTCTCTCTCTCTCTTTCTCTCTCTCTCTCTCTCCACAATTACATGTATATATGTGTTAGATGGACTATACATGTGTTATATAGATTATAAATATTTATAATATATATTTATGTAATAGTATGACATATTATATGGATGCAAGTAATTGCTCAGACTTGAAAATGTCTGCCTTCCATTCCTTCTCTCCCTTTCCAGGAGCTTATAATGTTCTTCAAGGATATTAGGAGATTTTCATTAATTTTGATTTTAAAAATAAATATTTTTCTTTTCTCCTCAGTAAATATCGTGCAGTCACTCAATGCTTATCCTTTAAATAGTAGTTGTGTGATTCTTTCCTGGATGCTATCACTTAGTGAATACAATCTGATATATTTTATTCTTGAGTGGAAAATTCTTAATGAAGACAATGAAATTAAATGGCGTAGAATCCCTTCGTCTGTTAAGAAGTATTATATCCATGGTAAGTTTACTATACTTTAATAAGTTCTTATGGGTTAGTATGATACTACAGATTACTAATTCAATTAATAGATCCAGTTAATTAAATAAAGCTTGAAAAATATAGATGACAATACCATCTGAATACTTGTAATTTTATCACCTTACCATAAACATTTAATTCTATTTCATTTGATCCTTTTTCATTTAAATATTTTACACAGTGGTCATCATACCATGTCATTTACCACTCTCCTTCTGATTTGTTCCTTTGGTATATCACAAACATGTTTCTATTTTCTCCCCTATCCCTTTACCTATTATTTTTAATGATCATATTGCATTTTATGCCAAAATCTACTTAAACTGTTTATTTATTTGAGAACTATTTTCATTGCTTTCAGCTTTATATCTTTAAACCAATTTGTAATGGCTTTTGATATCTGCTGCCAAGTTGTTCTCTCAAATTGTGTACCAACTTATAATTTCACTCGCAATGAGTGGAAGTGCCATGCTGGAGGTCTGAGGATCTAGGACCTGGGGACATAACCAACACAAACTCCCAAAAGTAGACCAGTTGCCCCAGGAGGTGATTACAAAGTTTAAGTGCACAATACAGCATCTCCAACTCTGAGTTAGGTTTAAGTATAGAGAAGCCAAGGATTGCCCTGATCTTATCCTATATAATAAAAGCCTAATATGCTAAGTGTCTGGTCATCCATTCAACCAATCAAAGTGTAATATGCTAATGATATGCTAAGGCCGCTCAACCACTTGCTATGACATGCACTGACCTCCAGGGGGAAGATGCTCTGACCAGTAGGTTAGCTTGCTGCTGGGGTTCAGCCAATCGGGACTGAGCAAGATGGGCCGGACATGCCCTGGAGCCCTCCCATGGTCTTTCCCCAGCTGGCCAACTTCCTGTGTCTCTCTCTGGCCCTGATTGTGCACCGGCAGGGTCCCTTGGCCTGGCCTGTGCCCTCTCATAATCCAGGCTGAGATACTACCCCACAACAGAGTGCACAAATTCATGCACCAGACCTCTAGTTATGTAATCTCATCCCAAAGACTCATATGTTTATTTCAGAGACCTAGAATTTAGCCTTAGGCTAAATAGAAACAAATTCTTGATAGAGAACTAAATTCATTACATTACCACTGTTATCCAGGTGGTTACTCTCTGTGCTTTTCATTATATCATGTGGACTTTAGGTTTCAAAGAGATTTATCTCTTGTGAAATCATTTTTATATCTTAATAGCACTTGATAGATTCATTTTGAGCTTTGCAACGGAGATGGCCATCCTTCAGTAATCTAGACTCTTGGATATTGCAAGGAGATTCCTGGTTCCCACCCCTATCTTTTTAATATAGGATTTCACAAGACTTGAGTCTTCTAGCTGCCTTGGGTAGGAAAACTAAGTAGCTAAATTCCTATGTAAAGGAAATATTGCTCACCTTGGAGATACTGGAGAAGAGGTAGAGCATACTGTCCTGGACAGGGAAATACAACACCTATATACCCCGAACTTGAACAAAGTGACTATCACTGGAACATGTCTTTGAAAAATTGCCATTTCCTATCTCTGGGTAAGATTTTTAAAACTGTTACTTGTAAAATTATTGTCATTATTAAGGGAATTTGGAGTACCTAGGTTGTTTTGAAATTCCTTTAATTATCAGTTTCAATCCATAATAACAACTAATTTCTATGTTTGGGTCACTTAAAAATGTTTTATATAGATTTCACTCATTTATATGAATTCAGTAAGAATGACCCTTTAATATGTTTTTTTCCTCAGATCATTTTATCCCAATTGAGAAGTATCAATTCAGTCTTTACCCTATATTTATGGAAGGAGTGGGGAAACCGAAGATAATTAATAGTTTTACCCAAGGTAAAACTTTTACTTTCAGTTTCTTTTTATACAGATGAATGGTTTCCTGTGTAGTGGTAATGTTGCCATCTGGCTATTCTCCTGATAAAATAGTGCAAGGGTCCAGCGTCTTATGTGCCCCAGGGTACATGCAGTCAGGATGTGTGGTTCCAAGATGGTAGTAAGAAAGAGAATAATCAGGCATGGTATTGAATTCTTGTATTGGTAAGTAAAATTTTTAGTCTCAAATTGGGTAAAAAGTTGTTGCAAACAAAACAAAGGGAAATACACAGCTATACAATAAAATACATCTTCATAAAGACTAGTTAGAAATATATTATTTTTCTGAACATTTTTATATAATGTATATAAATGCACCTTCCCCCAAAGAATATGTTTGGGAGCATATATTTGTGAGTCCATAAATTTTAATCAGTCTTCTAAAGGAAATAATTTTTCCTCTGAAAATAAAACTGGAGAGGTTGTCATAGACTGGGCCTCTCATATTTCTGATTCATCTTACCATATTTGGCATATTTACATTTTACTATTACTTTTTAAATTGTCTTCACATCCAAGCACACCAATAATGAAGTTTCAAGAGAGACACATTTTGCCTGGTTTTAGAATGAAAATAATTGAAAGAATTCATTAATGAATTATTGAACAAATGAGAATTCTTCTAAGCACTGGGGCTTGAACAGTCAACATCATTCTCTAACCTCCAGGACTCCAATGGGAGTGAGAGACGATAAACAAATCATGTATAATATAATGTCAGATAGAAGTGCCATGAAGTAAGATGAAAGGATAGACTTAAAATGTGGTGTGGTAGTTAGAATGGCCAACATTTGTCTTTTTCGTTGTGAGTAGAGCTTTGCAAGCACAAAGGGGAAGCCCATTTCAGCAAGGGCAAGGTAGTACAGAGGAGTGCTTTGTACTGATGAGTGAGCATGCTTGGTGATTCAAGAAACAGCAAGGAGGTCAATGTGTGTGGACTGAACAAGCTAGAGATTGGCAGGTGTCGGAGGTTGGCTTCTTTAGAAGCAGATGCTCAGACAGAGTCATCATAACAACTTTAATTGGCCCTTTGACTCATATAATCTAAAAGGGAGCAGAGGGAGAGAATTCACAAATAATTTTTAAAACAATATTTTGCTAAGTTACAATAAGCATAATTGTGAACACAATAATAATCATTTTGTTAATGGGATCATAACTATCCTTTTATCTTCCTCTTTTTTATTTTTATATTTTAGAGGTCATACAGATCTAGGATGAAATTAGGAAAAAGTCTATTATAATTATTGATACAGAAAGATACTTTTTTTTCCTCAAGCTTCTGAATTGCATGAATTGCATTTCTTTTCCAGATGATATTGAAAAACACCAGACTGATGCAGGTCTATATGTAATCGTGCCAATAATTATTTCTTCATTAACCTTGTTGCTTGGAGCATTGCTAATATTACATCAAAGGTATGAACCTTCAGCATATTTAAACCTTGATTTAAAATACAAATCAGAAGTAATATACCCTAAATATTTTTAAGATGGCATTAAAAAGAAAAGGCCTATTTTCAGCTAGCTAAATTCTGTTTTGCTAGCACAACATAAACTTCACGGAAAAAATGATTTCTTTTCTGAAATGCAAGCAGGAAATAACAAGCCTATTACAGGAAAGCCTAGGCTGCGTGTTCTTGGAGGTGGCAAAATGGCTTTCAGAGCTGTGCAATTTGGGTTGAGGACTTTGAGTGGGGAAAATTTACCTGTAGCAGGCAGTCCACTTATAACCAGTAAGCACTCTGCTTTTTAAAAATCAGCACTGCTGGCTCTGGTCAATCTGGTTTGGCAAATGGCCTTGAATTTCTTGTGGGTTTGTGCTGAGAGCTCTGGACCAATGAGTTTTACAGGATGAATCTCTGCAGAAACGTTTGTCTTTTAGCACAAAAGAGGGAGAGACCATTTTAGAATCAGAATTTATCTTTTGGTCAAGTGAGCTGATGGGGCCATATCAAGTAGAGTTGTTTCTGAAACTCACCTGATGACCATTTTTTAATATTTTATTTTCTCTGAGAAAGATGCAAAGTGCCTGGCACGCAGTTTTCTATAAGTGTTTGCTATTTTTATTATTATAACTAGAGGCCCTGTGCACGAATTCATGCACAGGTGGGGTCCCTTGGCCTGGCTGGCAATCGAGGCCTATCGGGAGGCTGGACGGGCAGTGGGAGGAACTGCAGGAGTTTGGCCAGCCCGGGGGGGAGGGGGGAGGTTGGCCCGCCAGCAGGAGGGGCCATGGGAGGTTGGCTGGCCTGGGTGGGGAGGAGGCGGCGGGAGGTTGGCTGTGGGAGCGCACTGACCACCAGGGGCAGCTCCTGCATTGAGCATCTTCCCCTGGTGGTCAGTGTGCGTCATAGTGACTGGTCAACCAGTGGTTCCAGTCGTCCCAGTCATTAGGTCCTAAATGTCACTTAGGCTTTAATATATATAGATGGTTATTAACTTTGGTCTAGACAGCTCATTGGTGGAAATTTTCCTGTGATAGCATGTGAAAATGAATCATCCCCTCCTAAGGCATAGCTCTGGGGGATTAATTTCTAGTTTATACATTCATTAACTATTAACAGTTTTGATATGAATGTTTTTCTGTGATTCCAGTGCCTTATTTTTCTTTTGTAGAATGAAGAAGCTGTTTTGGGATGATGTTCCAAACCCCAAGAATTGTTCCTGGGCACAAGGACTTAATTTTCAAAAGGTCCCTTTTTCAATTTTCTTAATCCCAAATATAATATTGTATTTTAGATGTCATATGCCTTCTAGAGCTTTAAACATTTTTAAGGTTTAAAAGTTTTTTTTTATTCAATTCATTTGAATATGAGTCTGTTTAATCTACTATATATTTCCAAGAGTAGCAGGATATAAGGATTTAGTACTGGGGATACAAAATTCAATAGATAGTTTATCATATGAAAGTTAATAATATGCATATATATCTCTTATGTATCACAGTACTATGTAATAAAATAAATATTAGAATATTAAGAATCAAATCTGATGGAGAACGGGTTTTGGTATAAATTCATTGTCCTTAGGCAAAGGGCTTGAATCAGTATTTTTAATACCTATACTTATTTCCATAATTATTTAAATCAAATAAAAAAACAATATAAATAATCCCATGATTAAACACTGTAACTTGAAAAATTCAGTTATCAAAATTAAACTTATACTTATGTAAGATGGTTTTTTTAAAACCTCTGCAAATATTTAATTTCATAATTTTATAAGCTATTCTTTAAGCAAAACTAGCCCTCAAGATGCTTAGTTTATTACCAGGGCTTAACAGCTATACAAATAACACAATTAGAAATAACTCAGATTTTGAAATATAGCAAGAATATTTGGAGTGGAAAAGAATATAATTTCCAATATCTTACTAACGATAAAAATCTTCTAAAATGTAGTAACTTTTTAATCCCATTTCTTTAATCTCCTAACTAACTAAAATTTACTTTTTAGGGAAAAATAATACAGTGTAAATCATGTTATATTACCTAAGAGTACCAGGTAAATGTGCTAACTGCTCTTTGCTTTTATATTCACATTACTTTATTTAATTCTCTCATTGGCCTAATTGCATCATATTTTCTGATGAGAAAACTGAAGCTGAGAGTGATTCAGTTTGTCTTGATCTATCCAGCCATGCATGTAAAAGCCTCAGTGCAAACAGAGGTTCATGTGACTCAAACTGATTATCTTGCCATCAACTCCATATTAACAATTAATTGCTTAATATACTTAGTGCCACTAAATTGTATACTTTAATATAGTTAAAGAGTAAATTTTATGTTATGCATATTTTAATGAAATAAAAAATGGGCAACAGATCTGAATAGACATTTCTCCAAGTGGCCAATAAGCAAATGGAAAGATGCTCAACATCATTGGGCTTTAGGTAAAATAAATCTGAAACACAAGATACCATTTTTCATTAGCTAGGGTGGCTAGAATATAAAGCACAGATAATAGTATTGGTGAGAATGTAGAGAAATTGGAACTTTTATACACTGCCTATGGGAATGTAAAATGGTGCAGCCCTTTTGGAAAATGATCTGACAGTTCAATAGTTAAGCATTGAATTACCATATGACCCAACAACTCCACTCCTACCTATATATCCAATAAAAATCAAATATATTCACACAAAAACTTGTACATGAAGGTTCATAGCAGCATTATTTATAATTTACTAGTGAATTTCATGCACTGGGGAGGGGTCTCTCAGCCTAGCCTGCACCCTCTTGCAGTCTGGGAGACTGCATGGGAGACTGCATCCCCCTCGGGGGATGTCCGCCTGCCAGCTTAGGCTCAGGGGGAGCGGGCCTAAGCCAGCAATCAGACATCCCTCTCGCAGTCCGGGACCCCTCGCTCCTTACCACCAGCCTGCAGTGGAGGTGGGAGTGGCTCACCAGCCATGAGCCCGTCTTCTAGCTGAGTGGCACTTCCACGGGGAGAGTGCACTGACCACCAGGGAGCAGCTCCTGCATTGAGTGTCAGCCCCTTGGTGGTTAGTGCATATCATAGCAACCAGTCGTTCCACCATTCAGTCAATTTGCATATTAGGGTTTTATTATATAGGATAATAGCCAAACTGTGGAAACAACTCAAATGTCCCTCAAATGAAAAATGGACAGGCAAATTGTGGTATATTCAATTCTAACACAAAAGAAAACAAAAATGTTAGTGATTGGTCTAGGGAAGTTCTTTTCTTCAATTTTATTTGTTAATTACAGTTTACATTTAGTATCATTCTATATTACTTTCAGGTGTTCAGCATAGTGGTCAGACAATCATATACTCCACAAAATGATCACCCCTATATTTCCAGAACTCAACTGGAACCATACATAGTTACTATAACACTAGAGGCCCGATGCACAAAATTCATGCAAGAGCCGGCCTTCCTTCCCCCAGCTGCCGGCACCGGCTTTCCTCTGGCACCCGGGACCTGGGCTTCCCTCACAGCCCCACCTTCGTCTGGAAGGTCATCTGGAAGAATGTACAGAAGGACATCTGGTCTAATTAGCATATATGCTCTTATTATTATAAATTATAGACTATATTCCCTATTCTGTACTTTATAGGAAGGGTCTTTTTCATTTAACTTGGTCATCATTAGAAAATACTTTCTTTTTTTTTCTTTTTTTTTTTTAAATATACTTTATTGATTTTTTACAGAGAGGAAGGGAGAGAGATAGAGAGTTAGAAACATCGATGAGAGAGAAACATCGATCAGCTGCCTCCTGCACATCTCCTACTGGGGATGTGTCCGCAACCCAGGTACATGCCCTTGACCGGAATCGAACCTGGGACCCTTCAGTCCGCAGGCCGACGCTCTATCCACTGAGCCAAACCAGTTTCAGCAAATACTTTCAATTCTGTCCCTAGTCAACTCTAAGAAATTTGAGAATTTACTCTTTGACAATTTACTCTTATTTCTTTGATTTTCTCTTTCTAGAGTCTGTATTCATTGGATTTTAGATTCTCTCTATATATCATTATATTTCATTCTATATTTCATTATTTTCTCTGTTCTTTGTGTTTTTGTCTTACATTTGAGACCTTTCCATAACTTATTTTTCCAGTGTTTCAGTTGAACTTTATTTACTATTATATTTGTAAGTTTCCAAATATTCTTTTTAAGAGTATTCTGTCCTAGTTTTATGCATGCAATGTTTTTTTAAATCTTATTAGAAATATCAATTAGAGGTTCGTTTGCTTTAAAAATTATCTTTTCTTCCACTCCCTGAATTCTCTGTTTTTATTAGGATCATGTTTTTCCTTTGTTTTTCTTGGCCTTACCTTTTCTTTATCTCACTTCCCCAAATATCTGATAATAATCTTTTGTTTTCCTTTCTTGTTTAAGAGTGAAACAGTAGACAGGCTGACTGGGAGCTCGAGGCATATAGACAGGGATTGTTGCCCTACGTGGGTAGACAGATGAGGAAAGATATACCCACCCATGATGCTGAGTTAGCTAATTAGTTACTTTTAAAACAAAAACCCAAGTTGGGTGTGGAGGGTAGTTCTAATACGAAAGCTCTTGATGTGCAGCAGAGAAGTAGAAGAGGCCATTCCCTGGGCAGAGTTTTCAGTTTCCTGCCTCAGCTCTCATTTCTTCCTGTGTTTTTACCTGCCACTTATTTCTTCATGCACCATCTCCAACTGGGCAAACTGCCTTTCTCTCCAGCTACAGCCCGCTCTGGAGATGTTCTGGTCTGCAGCTTTCTTTGCTCATCATCTTTGGTCTATACTCATTCAGTTATTTTCCATTTTTAAAAGATGGATTACAAAGCTGATTCTTTCTTAGCCTTCTCAGATTATCTTTGTTGTGGGTATGCAGTTGATTTACTCATGTATTTTCATTCTAACAGTCTCTACAGAGATGAGAGAGAAACATATATGCTCAGTCTTCCGTCTTCAATGAGGTTACTTCTTTACACCATTTTTCTTTTTCTTTTTTCTTTTTTTAAAATATATTTTGTTGATTTTTTTACAGAGAGAAAGGGAGAGAGATAGAGAGTTAGAAACATTGATGAGAGAGAAACATCAATCAGCTGCCTCCTGCACACTCCCTACTGGGGATGTGCCCACAACCAAGGTACATGCCCTTGACCGCAATCAAACCTGGGACCCTTCAGTCCCCAGGCTGATGCTCTGTCCACTGAGCCAAACCGGTCAGGGCTACACCATTTTTCTTAATGCTTTAGAAATCAGAATATTAAAACACACAATGCATTATACAGATTAAGTATTATAAATTATATACCTGAAACCTATATAATTTTATTAACTAATGTCACCCCAATAAATTCAATAAATAATTTTTAAAAGAAAAATAAAAGTCAGAATATTAGACAAAAGATTGAATTAGCCTTCTAATTCAATTTTTACAGTTTTTAAAAGACTTTAATGATTTTTTATCCTTTCTTTAGCATTTTTGCCTAGTCTATAGTTTTCTTTCTCTAATTCCAAATCATCTGTATTTTTAAAATCTAACTCCGCTCATTGGTTGTCTACATTTATGTCTATTTTCATAAGAGTGTGTTCCACTTAACAACCTTTAGGAGTGTTAAAGCTAAAACAAAGTGGATTTTTCCCTGTGATTCGAAGACTATTTTAGATTCCGTAGCCTACTCTATGCCTCCAAAGAAGAAACCCAGTCGCCCATGGAAGAGCACCATCCTCACAGATCTGAGGCAGAGCATCCTGACATTGCTAGCAGGCCTTGCACAAGTGTGGAAGAGCTAGTGCGGTTTTGAGTTAGAACTTCTATTTAGAAGCGCATGTTACTGGGCTTAGAAGTGTGTATTCCATTCCCTAAAATATGACTTCAGTTTTGTTTATTTTCTTGTTCTTCTTCATATTTATGCATATGTCCTTGGTTTATAAGTATCCAGAAGAGAGTAAGAATTAATGAGCTCAGATCTATCACAGCAAGTAGAAAAAGCAAACCAAAGAACATGTCCTCCTGACAGTTTGTGTTTGGGATATCTTGTCATCTTCCATTGTGCTACAGAAAGATTGTTGGACTGCAAAAAAACTGACTTAGGGTCCTTGCTGCTCTAAGTAGCTGTGCAACTTTAAGCCTCAATTGTTTTGTCTAAAAGGGGGGAGATACGTGGAGTGGATGATTTCTTTCTCTCTTTTTCTTTGAGGGAGGGGAATAGTTGTATGTAGTTTTACATGTCGTTG